CCGGGGGACATGCTTCTGGCGTCGCGCTCCTCCTGCATCTGCGGCGTTTTTTGGGTCTCCCATTTCCTGGTCTGAGTCGGTGAGGCAAAGGACAGACTTTTTTTCTTTTTCCCAAGAAAACTGGGCAGATTCTTGTGAGTCACTTTGCCACACAATAGCTAAGCGGCTGTAGCCTGTGCCCATAGTGTGGATACGGGGGGAGGAAGAGAAGAATTCGGGCTTTTTTTCTTTGTTGGGTTTCTTTTTCCCTGGACCACCACTCTTCACTTTCATAGCTTCATTCTGTTCATATCTTGGACTTCTTCTTTCTTTCAGTTGTAAGCTAACAGCTACAGAAGAATGAGCCTAACTGGGACCTGCACTGAAGCTGGTTTTCAGTAATTCTGTAGGGGATGAAATTGAGGAAGATTGTACATTCCTCACTTTTTTCCTTTCTCTTCAGAATTTAAAAAAAAAAAAAAGGGTAGAATCCTGTTGTATGTTCTTTATATGCTCTTTTATGAAGTAGTCTGCCTTTCAAGATGTGATGACTTGGCCTCTGGATGAACATTATACATAAGCTCTTTAAACAAATTGAGATGTTATTTATAAATTTGAGTGTGAGTCCAAAGTTCTTTTCCTATTATTGTTCTCTTGTAGGGTTTTGATTACAGTACTGCAAAGTCTGAACACTCTCAGAACAGCTATAAACACTGGTACATATTTTAATGCAGCAGTTTTCCACAGATGAAGATCCCACTGGGTTGAAGTTAATCCCTCTTGAAGTTAATAGTATTGTGCATGCATGTGTATGGCTAGAAGGGGCTTAAAGGAGGTTACTTTATAAATCATCTCTGACTGACATAAAAGGATTTGGTTTTGGTTTTTCTCATCTTAGTGATTATAATTTCCAGAAACAGCTTCTGAATTGAAAGCACTGGGAATAGCCAACTAGGGAGTAAACTTAGGTTAAGATGCTTTGATAGTGGTAATGGATAGCAAACAGTTTAATTGGGATGGTTTTTCTTCTTGTAAAACTGTCGTAAGACCCATTTTTAATTAAAAACATGTAATTTATAGCTTTACTTGTCAGTGACATATAGTACTTCACTCAGCTTTACTACCTCATTTTCCTTTTTGCTAGCGTGTGTGCTACCAGAGTGTTAGAAAAAATGCTACAAGCACAGAACTCTGCAAACTTAGCCTTCGGCAGATTCTAATGAACTTGCATGTTTCCAGACTTGGAGCTTTTGAGATGACAAATTACTTCTTTGATAGGATATATATAAAAAACAAAGGTACATCCTTTAGCATGATGCTTTTAAGTCTCAAAGAGCAGAGATAAATTCAGTCCTTATACTAACCTATAGAGGCAGCCAGTTATAGAAAAGCCCCTGCTCAGAGCCTGTTTTGTGCCACCCTGTGTTACTTAGTAATGGCCTGACAGGGTATTTGGCTGAAGCGTTCTGCTTCAGTTGCTGCTCTCATCCTTTCCAACAACGTTCCATTTCTGCTTGCCATGCTGCTTTCTATCTGGTGTTACCCTTAACAGTTATAAGTTGAGCTGTTCTCTCTTGCTGGAATTTCAGCTTTCTGCTGTGCTTGATCTCACTCTTTGGGCTCAGAACATGACCTTTCCTTCCTGGTTTTTGGAGGTTATGGATCTCTGAGTTTATATCAACAGTATGTATCCATTGCAGGCAAGCTTGTTTTGTAACAAGCTCATTTAGAACACTGTAACCGAAACCTTCCAAACTATGCGTGTAATCATATTGAAAGTGGAAAAGAGGGAGAGGTCAAGCTTCTTAACAGCCTGGGATGCGTGGAATAGGCTTATGCGTCTCCTTACTTTGGAATATATACCTTCTGTTCCATCTCTGATTTGATAATGTCTCCAGCAGTTCAGTCAGTTTGTGATTTCCACTTCCTCTTGTTACAATTTCGTAAGTAAGAGCGAATAAAGACAGCACTCTGAAGCTGGTCTGGCCTGTTGATATCTATTACTGGGGTTTCACAATGACACCACCATGAACTGAATTGTTCTGATTTAGAGTGGGTTGCCTGAAAAGTAATTGCGTTGCAGACTTCATTCAGTTGGTCTGAATCACTTAGTGAGGTTAGATATAGGCAAAACATGCATTTTTCATGTGTCCAACTCTCAAGGCATACATTTGAGGATGAAGAACATGAGTCGTACACAGAGGATGGGGGACTGTTCTGAGAAGTAGAGACACTGAAAGGAGGGGTTGTGGGTTATAATTAAATAATCACTTGAACATATTTTCTGTAGATCGTTGGTCAAAAAATCAAACTAGGAATACTAAACAGCGTATGAAAGATATGACAAGATAATATAATAGTCTTCCTGGTCTGTAGCTGTTAATTATGGGACTCCTTTTGGCATTCTATGTTCGTTTTTGGTATTGAGAACCTTAGAGAGATGATAGCAATAACTTCAAAGAATTTAGAGCTAAACGAACTCGGAGCTCTGTCTCAGTAGAAAAGATTGATCCGTGTAAGTATTAAAAAGGGAGGGGGCAACAAGAAAAGGAGGATAGTTGTACGTATAATGTGGAGGAAAATATACTAAAGGAAGGTATCAAGCTGTGAAAGTATTCAGTAGCTGGAAACAGAACTAAATAGTTAACAGTGTAATATTGTATATTATAGAAGTAACTATTACACTAATTATTGAGGGGAAAAAACAAATTTTGTACATAGTAGTTTAACTTTTATAAATATTAATACAGTAAGATGATTTACCAAAGGCTGCAATGTATTCCATGTTGTTAGATTTGTTGCTGGTGTGTGTGTGGGGGGGGGGGTTAAACTAGATTGGATTTTTCCTGCAAAAGATGTACTGATTCAAAAGACAGTTTTATTCTGGAACTGATCTGATCTTGGTATTTGGGGGAGAAGGTGGGTTTTCTTCATCCTGGGGAAGATTAACGCAGGAAAAGCACTGTTGGAAAACCACTCACTGTATGCTCACCCAGTTGGTGGACATAAAAGAGAGGATGGGATTTTGTGACTGAGGGAGGAGAATAGATTTGCCCCTTCTGTTGGTAGGTGAAACATACCATGAAACTATGTTGCAGCCTGCATTGTAGAAGAAGTCAAACTGCATTATAAGAGGTTGCGTCTGGCTCTTTAAAGTCAAGGGGAATCTTTTCTTTCAATTTAAGGGAGTTAGACTTTAAAAAATGTGTATGACAATTTATTATAGAAGTGATAAATTAGTGGCTTTTCTATAGTATTTGGATGGGTGTTCACATTTAAAAATATTTCTCATTTAAATATAGTTCAATTTCACTTTTCTGTTTTTTCCTAAATCACTTGGTTGGTAGTGCTGATGGTTGGTATAATTTGAATACAAATTTAATTCCAGGTTTTCTTATAGGTAAAGAAGATAGTGTGCTGCTATCCAGTTGTGATAGCTGATCTCGTTTTACCAGTCTTCAAGACTTTTATCGGAGTTAAAGGTAACTTGTGATTTTTGTTTTAATACCAGAAGATGCACTGTAGGAATTTACTAAGTACGATAAGTTCTGTGTTCTGTTTCAGCTTCTAATAAATATTTTTGCTGTTAAACTGTGTAAATTTATCATATTAACTTTGCAATTCTGCAGTATTGCACAGGAAAGACTTAGTGATATAGTAAGTGTTATGGTTTTTAGTAAATGCTTAAATTATTAATAAAAATGTTCATGGTATGATTGCTATGTGAAGTCACTCTACCAGTGACTTATTTCTTCTGCAGAATTCACTGTGTCTTTGGGTTGTAGCCCATGTGAAAGCCGTAGCAAGAGAATATGGATTAATTATTGTTGGGTAATGCAACAATAGCCATTCTGCTTGTTTAGTGAAATGTGAAAAGCATGTTCTATGTGTCATATGAGATTAGAGTTGCAAGTAATGCAAATGGCAAATCTCAGTAAGAATATGGACTTGTTTATTTTACAAGATTAAAAAAAATGTTTCAATTGCAGTAGTGGCTGATATTTTTAGTAGTGCAATGCAAAATACTGCATTACAGCATCTCCTCAAGTGCTGTTATCTGCCCGACAAGCTATATAGGCATTGCTGACAAAAATGCTTAGCATTTTCTAATTTCAATTTACAACTCACGACTTGATCTCTGCTTATTATATTCTTTATGTAGTTCTTTGTATCTAATATACTACTTCCTAAAGTTTTTTTGGACAATAAGGGAAACAGAAACAAAATCACAACAAATCTGTGCAGTTGGTATGTGAAACTTACTCTAACAACACCCCCGGCCTCTAAATCCTGTTTCCCTTCCCAAATAATTCTCTTTACCTTATTGTCTTCTACGCCCATGGACCTTGTTTTTTTTTTTTCTAGCTCTGGAAGGAAGCTGGGGGTGGATCTTTTCTTATTCTTATGAGAGTAGAAGTCTCAAATCTAGGTGACTTTTAAATTCTCCTTTCCAAGGCCTCACAAGATGCTTGCCCTTTTTTCTGCACATCACAGAACTTCCTTCAGTGGTGGCATGATGTTTGGAGACTGGACTGAAGTATGAGTTGCTCAGAAGGCCTGACTTCCATTGAGTTGGCCCCTTTCATAGATACTTCCCTTGTCTTTAATTCTCTCTGCTGTTATTAAGTGATAACAGCCTGTGTGCTCTGTAATGCTGTTGTTAGAAGAAGCACAAGAGGGTTAGCTAAGGACAGTTTAAAGGGGACTATGAGTTGCCTTACGGCTCTAGCTTTGATTCTTCTCTTTTGCCTCTAATGTCATCTATTCAGCTTTCTGTTTGCAAAGCACTAGTTCTAGAGAAACATTCTGTAGGAAAAAGATGTCCAGTTACCAGAACATAAAAATAGACTCTTAAAAGAGAGGTTTGGATTTTGAAAGATCGGTTTCAGCTTAGGCTACTTGCACTGATGACAAAGCAGAGTTTAACCAAATATTTATTACTGAAATTACTCTGTAATTAGTAGTGTTGTACAGCTAAATGTAACACCAAATTTTACTGTGAATTACTGCTATCCCATTACTGTGGCTTGAGAAGTATAGAGTACAACTGTGGTATTCTTTTTAGTGGCCTGGATAAGAATTTGACTACAACATTTTTAAGAACATAGTTTTTGTATTTTTAATAGCATTCTTTAGTGTATATTTAAAATACGTGATGTGATCTCTTACCGCAATGGAAAATTAAAATAGCCTTTTCAAATCTGACGTACTCTTGTTATCCTGTGTTTGGGATTTAAAATATATATATTTTTATTACAAGCTTTGAATTGGTAATAGGCAGACCTTTAACTTCTGACTGTTTAACTCAGCGTGTTTCCTACTACTTCAGGAAAAACAAAGCAAAATTAAAATTTGATTATAAAAATAGGTACTTGGGTTTCACATTTATTCAAATAATAGTTGTTACTTCCAATTACTCACAAGAGCAAGAATTCTTTAGTAAACATTTTAGGATATACTGAGTACACCCTACAGATATGAAAAACGCAACATAAGCTCTTTTGAATTTATTTAAGTTTTGGATCTGAAAACTCTTCTTCAATTTCCAGTGCAGTATTTTGGACTTTGTAGACACTATTTGTAAATTAATCACACTCTTTGCTGTTTCCTAGGTTCAAAGAAGCTTATTTTTGTCTTTTTATCACCTGTTCTCTGTCCCTCTTTTGAAGTTGTACTTAAAATAGATCTGTATCTGCTGTTGTTGCATTGATGATCGATTTAAAAATAAATAAATAAATAAAGGTGCCAAGTAATAGGCCTGCTTATTAATCTTCTCTGAGAGGACTTGATCCTTTTTGTTGCATAGCTTTTTTGAGTCCTTTTTCTGGTAGGATGCTGTATTACTGGACCATGCATATGTAGCAAACCCAACATCTATAAAAGAAACACAAGAAATGTGTTATAAGAAGCTTTGTCAGTGCTTAGTATTAAGGCTACTTTGTCCCCTCTCTAGGCAACACCTATGTGTTGCAGTAATCTTTGGCAAGACATTAGCAACATGGTGATCTGATGCAGCTGTTCTGATCAAACCTAGGATTAATACAAATCAGTGCTAGTAGTCTTTCTCTACGACCCAAATTGGAAATGGTTTAGCATTAAACCTATCTTACACCTCTAATTCTCTCACAGCTCTCATCTTAATTAACTTATGACTTTGGATATTTGAACTCATTTCACTGTATGCTTTCTCTTTTCTTTGTGTGGTAGAGGGTGTGTCTTACAGAAAGTAATTAATTTTTTTAGAAGTGGTTGGGATTGATGAGCTTGCAGATATTTTTTTCCCCGTCTTGAATATGGGGTTTGCTTACAACGTAACATTACATGCTTTTTATAAAATGTGGCTTCTATGTATCTTTTAGCCCTTGTGTTCACAGCTCATAATTTTTAGCTGTGATTTTAAGGTTTTGTTTTCATTATCTTTACTTGCATTCTAAGGCAATACCTGCCATGAAGAAGGTTGAGTTACCATAGGATTCCCCAGTTGTGAGGTCTGCATGGCATATGCCATTCATAGCAGTGTTATAATTTCAGAATGGGATCAGATGAAAACAGTTGTTATTGGCTGAACGTTGTGGTCACTGTCATGAGCCCTAGTTTCCTGGCATCAAACATCGTATATCCGTAAACAAATGGTTGAATATTGTGGGAATATTAATTTAGCTGACAAAGTTTTTTTTTTGTTTGTTTTTAAATAAGTATGTTGCAGTTTAGATGTAAAGATGAAATAATTAGAATCTGGAATGGAAGGTAAAATTAACCTGTTCTTTTATTTGTGAATGGTGTTTGATTTGCTTTCAAAGGGTTGAAGATTGAAAATGCCATTGAAAATGCCTGGATCCTTTCTGTTCAAAGGTTCGCATGGATGTTTTAACTTTCTTCATTTAAAAAGAAGTCATTTTTTTTCCTCTGACTTAAATATACTTGGCAAATAATTTTTTGTTAAAGTTTTAAGACTCCATTTATGAATTTACCTTAAAAAGACATTTCCACAATTGTTACAAGTTCGCAAGTTCTAAGCGTGTTTTTATGTTGTACCATTCCCAAGATAAACAATGGCCTAGAATGCTTTCTAGAAGAATCAGTATACAAGCAGTTAATTTAACTGGACAACACACAACAAATAGAGGCATTCAGTGAATATTTTCTGGCTTTTGGTTCTGTCAAAAAAGTAAAAACATAGGCCGTTCTTCCAGAAGAATGCTTTATTCCTGTGGCTGGTTCATTGATTTTGCTGACTGAAGCTTTGTTTCAGATATCTCGGGCAGTATATTCATAGGTGTCTCTTTATAAACTGATCATGTAGTTGTAAAGGCAAGTCAAGTTAAAGGAAAACAATTTATTCATATTTTCAAAGATCCTATTCATAACGTTATTCTTTGCAAAAAAAAAACAAAAACAAAAAAAAATTTTAACCAAAGCTAAGGATGAACCCAGAGCACAGTAGAGTTAAACTATTGTTAGAGCTGTTCCTAATTACTAGTTTCCAAGATACATTGTTCTTGAAGAGCACTTTTAAATTTTGAGTTATGTTTCAAGGCTCAAGGTTTCAGGAAGTTCTCGGTGTTTCAGAGAAATTTTAGTGGAAGAAACCATCTAGATGTAGAGGAGACCCTACCCTGTAGTTTGGTGTGAAAACAAACCTAACAAAAATAAGTTGATAGTGTCTTTCATGGGTCACCATTAAGAGAGGTGGATAACTAATATACTTAAGAACTTAAAGTAGCTAGCTGATATGAAATTGCCATTGGTAAAAACTTTGTATAGAAGATATAAGAAGTTTTATACAAATATTTTCTTCATATATTCACATTGGGGGTGAAATCTTTGCTCTGACCGCACTCCTCTGGCATTAGACTGAGTTTTTGGTGATCACCTGATTAACTGCCACTTCAAGGTGAAATTATTGTACTTTGAGTAATGATGAAAATCAGAGCAGAGCTGCAGTACTCTGATTTTTTTGTATAGCAGCAATAATGCTTTTTTTTAAACTGAAGATAGGTTCTGTGTGTCAGAATTTGTACTGTGCAGTGTATATAAAGAAGCTATTCCAGTTTTTATAAGAGGGAAAGTGCTCTGAGTTTTTAAAAATCAGGAGCTAGTGCAAGTCGGTATTATAAAACATAATGATGTGGAATTTTTCAGTTCCTTCTAACTTTAGTAAAAACACTTTTTTCCTTCCTTTCCCTTAACAGGGTTTCATTACATTTTTTTGAGCGCTCTTTTTTATTGCGATCTACCCTTTGTGTTCGGAAGTTTTTGTTTTTTAATTAAATTTGTATCCATTTTGAATTAGATTTTACAGTTTCCTTTTTTCGGAAAACAGCTTCCAGTAGAACAGTTTTCTGAATTTCAGTGAAGTTAACTGATTTTTATGTGCAGTAAGGAGCTGAGCAGAAAATTAGTAGCACACTGAGCACTTAGAGCTTCTGTTAGAAGCATATCCTGCTTTATCAACCCTACTAGTTAGCCTGTTGCCTGGGGT